AAGGATGATGCATTCCGGACAGATCGAATCAGGCGCAAACCATGGGTGAGAATCCGGATCTATTCAATTATTCTTAAATATTGACTAGTGACTCATGGCGGTACGAAAATTTGAAACATGGAACTTTTCGTTGAAAAGCCATCTACCGTGGCAGGTAATGATTCATTATTTTGGGAGGGGTGTGACTAATAATGTGGTCTCAGTTTAGCAGAACTAAGCTTGTGAATTAGAAAATCTATACTTTCATCAAATCAGCTGCTTTATATAACGCACGAATAACCTTTTTTAGGTATCATAAATTGGACAGAATGGTTATAATCACTTTCTTTCGGTTTTCAACTCCGGATATCTCAATCCATTTTAAACATTTCGGTGCACTATGAGGAAATGATGAACTCTGACTACAAATTAACCGTACAAATCTTTCGATTATATTACCCCGTCGAATGAAGTTCATCGCGTGACAAATGCAGCCCATCCGATTGTTTACTACTAGGTTCAATAGAGTTGCCTATGCTCAGGTTACATTCAACTCTTTGCCATCGAAACTAAGAATGTTGATCAATTATTGTTGCGACATCAGGACTATTACAGTCATTGTTTTCTGATTACGTTATTCTCGAGAACAGATACTGCGATTATTATACCAGTTAAACGTTCTTGAGGCAATCAACGACTTTGTCTGAAATAACATAGAGTTCTATTGATTTCATGTTATTCATACCTCTTCCATTAATTCTTGTGAATGTGCTCATGATGAAGCCTGTTTTTTGTTCACTCATGAACCCGATAATCAATAAGTCTTGTTACTGTATCTGTCTCGCAAGATAAACCCAAAAAGCGTTTTCTTCCCCTTTTAAACAAACGCTTAAACCAATCAATCTATGAACCAAAACACGACTACATTAAATTTATGCGTCTCTTTTTTTAGCCAAATTGAATTAACGGGATACAATAGATAAATGAGTATAAATATTTCATGCAGCGTTCAAATAACATCAATTAAACGGCCTAATCACAAAAAGGGATGCACGCAGCAGCCACTTTGCTGGCTCATGAACCTGATCTATAGAAATCAAATGATTACCTAACACTGCTCCCATTTTTAAAATAAGGACCCAAGTCCACCAACCGACACGGCAAATGTCAGTTAATCTATTAGGTGGGCAAATTAAAGTCACCATCTAAACCATATGGTTTGAAGAAATAAAGGAGGAATGCACAAGAAAGCAACTCATATGTCATCTTGAGAATAAAACGTATTGCAGAATAGGGCATAGATAATGGTTTTTCTAATTTATGAGTGTTGACATCCAACAACATCTGAGAGAAAAATCGAAATGATGCATACAGTTCGCAATCTTTTAAATAGATAAATATGCATCCCCGGCAATTAATCTATTTGGAAGTTGCAAAACCAGAAGATTGTTTACACAGTCTGCTATCAAGTCCATAGTAACTCACTTCCCGACTCACTCAATGTGTGAAACACTAGTACCGTGGATTTGCCAAGTCAGTATAGCTACTGCATTCTGCTTCACGTGAACGATCTCGTACAACAGACATTGTTTTAGTTCACACTTTGTCGATATCTTGTCGATAGCTTGCAACGAGAAGCCCCAATTATTTCCATATACAGACAAGCAAGCTTTCCTGCCTCATGGCACAAGTTCTTAACTCAGTTAACAACTCTAGTGTGAGTAACTCACTTCCCCTACCCTTAGGTACTCAAGTGTGTTCACACTGTGTGCGACCAATTGCTCATATAATGTGTGAGTGGGTGTGTGTGTGGTAGGGGTAGGGCTAAAATACATTCTCGGCCCGCATGGACACGTGATCAATGATGCTTGTGAAGGGATGTGGATCTTTTACTATGTTTCAGTCGGAGGGATTGCTTTATAGAATTGCTAATTGACTGCAAAAGCGCCAAGCTCTCGTCACCACTGCAGAGAAATATTTGACAGAACGGTTAACAATATATTATTTCATAAGTGAGGCTTTTTAGTTTCCTTACAGTGGTATTTTTTTATTAAAATGATCATTCACATTTTTACAACATTCTTCTAATTCAGGTGACTAGATCAAGATCGTTTTCCGGAAGACACAACGGGTCTGAGAAGGTAGGATTTCCAAGTGCATATGATGATGATGAAAAATTGGATGTACTCACTCTAAAGTGCATAAATCCCTTGGTTTCACAACCCGAAATAATTTGGCTTTGTTTTCATCATTGTTCTATATTATATATTCAAGTGCGCCTGAGTACATGCATGCCTCGGACACATCTCATTCTCCCTTCACTTGATGTGAATGTACATCCAGCAAATTACATCTACGATATGATTACGTAGGGTCAAAAGAAAGCCATCCTAACCACGGATGACGATTCAGTGTATGAGTGTGTGTGTGTGTGTGTAGGATTTGCTATTTCATCCGCTCAAGCCTTAGTATAGTGCATAACCGCCAGTAAGGATAGGATGTGAGGTGTATCATGACTTCACTTATAACTCGACCTCTACAGTGCGAGTGCTCCATCGTTTACCATCGTCTCGTCCCTCTCATCCGTGACCTTAAACAAGTACATTCACTCTGACCCTTTCTGTGATCTAATTGGATCATATTCCGCGATCTGCGGCACTTGGAATCCCTCACCCCAACACAAGACTGTGTGATTACCGGCTTGTATGTTTTGTAATGCTCTCGTTGTCACGTCCATTTCATCTATGGGCTAATGGTATTCCTGCTGCACAGTCGAAGTTCACTGGACCTACCTAGGACTCACGGCTATAAACAAGGTGTGGTTTCTCGCTCGGGTTAGCTGCGCAAGCACCAGGTCCCTTGTTAGGGCTGAACCATCCGACCGATCAATAAATGAACCCGCTCGGTCGTGTGAGTTTCGGGCCGGTATAGGAGGAGGATAGGTTATAACGCCTTGGTAAATCCAGAGCTTTGACAGACTGTTTTTGAACACACAGTGAGTGGGTGGTTCAAGGGAATCGCGATCGCTTCGACCGTGGACAGTAAGCG